GGGTTATTAACCTAAGGCAAGTGGGAGGTGGAACAGTCCTGATGTTGTTTTTAAGTGCTTTTCCAGTCTCTTCAGGGATAGCTTAACCAATGTGGAGTTTTGTTCTTGGTGGGTTTTTTTGTTTTTGTTTTTGGAGCAACTGTAGCTGAATCTTATCTCAGGAAATAGCTGCAGGAAGGGGAGGGGGGTTGACACAGCATAAAAAGAAGAAATGGACCAAGTATACACATTGACTGATGTATCTCCAAAGGAGGTAACCACACTCCCTGAATGAAAGCAAAGCAATGCCAGGGGTGGGAGGATGCTTGGTTGGTACACCTTGTATTTGCATAAAGGTGTGACCCGAGAAGATGCCAGGCTGTTTTTTGTGCACACGCATGCATCCATTTTCAGATGTTAACTTTTGGATAAATATACAAAGACTTTTTGCATTCAGGTGGTGGTGCTGTTTCGTCGCATTGGTCCTAGCAAACAGTTATACATGCACAGTGGCTTTTCTGATGTTTCTGAAACGGAAAGACTGCTGCATTAGGTTGTTGGTTCCTTTAACTGCACAGATGACGGATAAGTACTGTAGGTCAGAAGAGTTAATGCCTCACCAAATTGGAATGAATGAAAGGAATGGTTTGCTACAGCCAGATACTGATGGGTGTTTAGCTAGGATTTTGAGAGCAGATGGATCTCTTCTAGAGCTGTTTATGACTGGGAATCCCCCCCGCCTCGAGCTGCATGTTGAAGACCTAGCAAGTCAGTGATTCCTTAATATTGCTGAGTCTGAGACTTTCCATCTCTGCAGTCTTTGGTTCTAAAACTGGGAGTTCCTGAACTGGCTGGCTGTTTATGCACATGTGGTTCTCTTTAATTACATAAGGGATGGTTCTTCTTTCACTGACGGCCCAAAATAACCCAGATCAAAAGGATCTCTGGTTAAGTTTAGCTTCAGAACAAGCAGGTTCCATTTGGCCATTTTATGGAAACAGCTACCACCTTGTTTGAATCTAGTCCTGCTACTGCGCTTTTAAAAGTCATTTGCCATGCAGATTTAAAGGGTTCCTCTTCTACTGCTTGGCTCCATATCAGAAAAAGCTGGTGACAGCCTCTGTAGATGATCCTCAATTTCAGCACAGCTTGAAAAAGGTGGCCTTTTGGACTGCAGCTCCCAGAATCAGCTGAACACTCCCAGAATGGCCATGCTGGCTGGGGATTCTGGGAGTTATCATCCAAAAAGTAATATTGTTCAAGCGCTGGATGCAACTCTTAGAAGAAGGCATCAAGAAACAACTCGGGGCTAAATCAGAAGCAGTGAGATTATATTTAGTAGATGAAACAGTTTGTCAAGATTTTGACTTCAAATTGTACCAGGTTCAACCTTTAAACTACCAGCTAAGGTAGTATGAATCTATCTGTATCTCTTTCTCTCATATTCAGAGTTTTAAAATCTCATGTTTTTTACATGTTGTTTGTGGGAAAAAATACAGATTTTGGAAAGTTCTTTTAAAAAATAAACAACAAACTTATCAACTATCTATACTTGTCAAATAAGTTCAGCTGTTCCCAGAATGGAGAAGGTCATGTGGCAACCATGTGGCTTGTAGTATTAAGAGGTAAGCTTCTTGGGGGGGAAGGGGGTATCCCTAATTCAAACATGGTTCTTAACCTTTAGTTCCCAAGGTGTTTTGGACCTCAGCTCCTAGAACCAATCATCCTGGCAGAGGCTTGTCAGAGTTAAAGTATAAAACAGCTGGAGGATCAAAGACTGAGAACCCCTAGTTTAAATACACAAGAATTCAGTGCCAGATTATTCAAAGCTGAGCCCTTAAAGCTATCGGCCTGAATGGATGAATTTATCTTCTTTCTCCCCCATTTGAAGGCTTTTTTAAAAAAAATCTCAAGCAATATCTGTGTTTCTAGAAAAAAGTCTGAATATTGATAAGTTCTTATTAAGAAAGAATCAAACACAATTCTCATTCATCCCTACCACCACCATCTTCCTTCCATGCTGCTACCTGCATCCTTAAACATCACACATGAAAAGACTGTGGGTGCATAGACACTAGAAATAATGCAGTTTGACAGCACTTTGAGCCTACAGAATCCTGGGATTTGTAGTTTTGTGAGGCACTAGCACTCTGGCAAAGAAGGCTAACAACCCTGTAAAACTACAAATCCCAAGAGTCTGTAGAGCTACAGCATTTAAAGTAGTGTCAAACTACATTATTTCTACAGTGTCTTAGAACAACAATTTTAATGCTGCTGGTATATGTTTGTGTATGTCTTTGTTTGCATCATGTCACCTGTTAACTTATGGCAACCCCATTAATTTCCTAGGGGTTTTGTAGACAAGGGGTGGTTTTGCCAGTTTCTTCCTCTGAAATGCAGCCTATGGTACCTGATAGTTGCTAGTAGTCTCCCATCCAAGTTCTAATCAGGGCTGACCTTGCTTAGCTACCATGATACAATTCTGTGGATGCAGCCACACTTTAGAATACTGGCTTACCGACCTGATTCCCACAACTCTGAAGGATATTGTGGAGCTGGAAGAGGGGCAGGAAAGGGCAACCAAAATTTATCAGGGAGCTAAAATATAACTGAAAGCAACAACATTGGGGCATTTAAGCTTATTAAGAAGTAGGATAAGAAAAATGCAGGTCTTCACATAACACAAATGTATGAAGTTAGCATTCAGGGGATACAACAACATTAGCTTTAAGGGTTTTTGAAGGGCTACAATTCCCCCCCCCACACACACACACACACATTTTGATGGCTAATAGTTGCCCTGACTATATGCAACCTTCAGATCCAGAGATCCCCAGGTACCAGCTGCTGGGAAGCAACAATGGGTGAAAGCCAATGCCCTCTTGTCCTGCTTCTGGGCTTCCCAAGATGGATCTGGCTGGCCAGTGTGGGAAAGGAAATATGTACTGGCTTGGATGGACCTTTGTCCCAGAGCTTGTGGCTATATTGGCTTGAGGTGGAATCTGGGAACTGTAGTCCAAAAGTGACTTTTCCAAGATTGATTTAACTCAGTGGTTCCCAACC